TCCATATGAAATGGACCCTAGTCGTTAAAGATGTTTATTTCATATTCATATGTTGGCATATAATATATTACATAAACCAATGCTTCTCTCTCAATATTTTTGAACCATACCAACAATCTGCAGAACTGCAAATCAAACAGCCTGTTCTCAATTGCTGATGTAGGATAAAACTGCATGCATTTACAGCGTGATTAAAATCCAGCTCCTTGTTGTAAAGTACCAGCATTCTACCTCAAAACCATCATCAAAGTAACCAAGAGAATCATTATAGGTTGTAAGTAACAAGAACTAGCTGTAGATTGTGTATCATAGGATGCAAACGGAATTGTCCCATACTGCTGCAAACCAACTCCCACACTTTGAACTGGATAATTGACATGATGTATTTGATATGTGACCGGAGGGGGCAGTAGCTGTATGTCATAGCTGGTATCTCTGTAAATAGGCGGACTGTCAGCATATGGCGGCAAATATGCATTATTGACACGGAATTCTTCTGCGGTGGCAGTCATTATTAAAATTATGCAAAACACTATGAGCTTCTGTAATATTAGAGCGACAAAATATGGACATTTAATAATTTATTAACAAACTTAGCGCCATACTAACCATGTGGTCTGATATAAATGTTCGAATAGTTTTAAACAAAATGTCATTTGTCTTCATGCGAATGCTTTTATATTTCAAACTAAGAGAACTTGTCATTTGGAATGTCGTCGGTTTGCAGACGACAGCTGCTGCAGACTTGAAACATATAAATCTTTGTGAAATAGTTTGAAACTGGTATGTGTACATAAAACTATACTTGATTTTATATGCGATCGCATATTTAAGATTTATTTATCAATAGACATAATGTGCTTATGCATGCATATTAATTTTGGCGTGTCTTCATTTGATCACCAACCTGCTTAGTTGTCTGTAGTTTAATCTATACAGCGTAGGAATTATTTTTCTGTTCAGAATGAAAAGTACCAACGAAATCTTTTAACATTTCTAACTTTCGTTTTCAATAATTTTGTGTAGAGAAAAAGAGAATTTTTTATCTATTGTGGGTGTTCAAAATAACGATAAATTATTACTTTCTTTGTTTCCATTTTAGTAATGGAATAATATTTATATTATTGTCATAATTCTATTGTGACTAAAATTGTCATACGGCTAAATGGTGGAACTAGTTTTAGACATATGAGCAATTCCACAGTTTTGGCGAAAATGTTAAAAAAGTAAAAATGTCATTTAGTTCGGCTGGTCCGAACTTGTTATACCCTCCACCACGTGGTGTGTATTAAAACATTAACTTTTATTCATTAATTTCTGCAAAGAAGTTTTCTATTCACCAGGAATACGATATGCCAAATTATAACCACTTTGATGAGAATATTCGGTTAGAAATTAATAATATTATAATTAATATTAATAATATTGATACTTTTTGGAAGGAAGATTTTTTTACTCAAAGAGCAGTATAGTCGGACGGGCTAAACATATTATACCCCACACAACTACCACTGAACTACAACTTTCTGTGGATGCATATAACGACCCAGTGCAATATTTCGCGATTCTAGCACAGTCTTGACCGTTTATAAGTCAACAGCTCCTATTTTTTTACTGTGACATCTTTTCTCAATCATGTTTGGGAGTGAACATTTACTCAATAAGATCATTTACGTCCATTTACAGGAAAAAAAAAACAGTAAGGTCGGTGGGGGCCGACTATATGATACCCTTCACCACTTTGGGTATATTCATCAGATGGAATCCTAAAAGACGTTGCATTTTTGAAGGACCATTAACATGAAATTAAACATGTCATTCTGCAACATATACTAAATTTTGATCAGATATAGAGTTGCTTCTTACAATGGGACAAAATTATGTAAATAATTTTAAATCAAAATATCGAAATCTAAACCAATTTCATCGAAACTTGTCACATGTTAGGTTACACTTATTTCAATATGTTTTTTGCATTCGGTCACATCTTGAGTTCTTCATTTACTTACTCGAAGGATATATAGGAACCGATTTTCACGAAATTTAACACACATCATTCTGCACTTAATTCAGTAACCTAAGCCAAATTTCGTGCAAATCGGAAGATATATAGGGTCTTTGGTGCACCATTTACATAAAATCGGGCAAAACTATATATGGGAGTTGTATCTAAATCTGAACCGATTTTCTTGAAACTTAGCACACATCATTCTGGACCTAATTCAGTAATCTATGTCAAATTTCGAGCAAATCGAATGACATATAGGGACTTTGGTGCGCCATTTACCTTAAATCGGAAGAAACTATATATTGGAGCTATATCCAAATCTGAACCGATTTTCACGAAAGTTAACACACATCATTCTAGGCTTAATTCATTACGCTGTGCCAAATTTCGTGCAAATCGAGAGATATATAGGAATTTTGGTGCACCATTTACCTTAAATCGGACGAAAATATATATATGAGCTATATATAAATCTAAACCGATTTCCACGAAACTTGGCAGACATAACACCAGGTTCAATTCAGTATGCCATGCCAAATTTCGTACAAATCGAAAGATATATAGGGACTTTGGTGCACCATTTACATGAAATCGGACGAAACTATATATAGGAGCTATATATAAATCTGGGCCGATTTTCACGAAATTTGGCAGACATTATGCCAAATTTTATGCAAATCGAAAGATATATAGGGACTTTGGTGCGCAATTTACATAACATCGGACGAAACTATATATGGGACGAAACTATAAACCAGTACCGATTTTTAAAAATATTGACAAACATCTCTTTAGGCTCAATTCACCCTCACAAGATAGCTGTTTAGGGTGTAATGACATAGTTACATTTGAACTTATATTGGACATTTTCCGACCTTTATTCCCGTATAACCTTAAATGATAAATTTCAGAAACCTCAATACGAAAATGCGAATAAAACATTAAAATAGCTGTAATGGGGCGGGACTATTACTGTCGACGATTCCGACTGTATTTGAGATTTATATGAAACATATACCTATATAAACAATTTTCATCTAGGAGGTATTTTACCCTTCGAAAAACCGAATTGTCAAATTACAGCCATCATTTATAGAAAATTCCTCCAAGATCTTCAAATTGCAGAAAATGCACACAACCCTAGGACGACCTAGGACTAGGACTTCTCTTAACCACGGATATTCCAAAATGTGGACCTATATATACTTATGTTGTCACGTATATGAGGATCTCCAAATTTCCTCCTCTCTGGACGTCCAATCTCGTCAGGTCTTCAAACGACAATATTGCCTAACGAGCGTGTTAAGTTCAGCTGTACGATTTCTTATAAAATAGGAGAATATAATATTCTAATTAATACATGATGAAAATAGCAACACTAAATAAGCGAGAACGCCATCCACGGTACAAAATTCCAGAAGGCATTCTTTCTATGTGAATGCCTTCTGGACTAACACTAACACTTGGACTAATTGAATAATATGACATGAAGGAAAGACAATAATCAGAGGTTTTGGAAATTTATACTAAAAGTGTACGACTAATACTAAATTGTTATTGTTGCTTTGAAAAATTATCTAATATACTTACGAAAAGTACAAAATGGTGAGAGATTTAGATTTAGAAATTTGACTTGGAGATGTGAAATGTTCGAAAAGTTCTAAATGGTATCAAATTTAGTTCAGCTTATGTTGAGTGAACGAATAGATTATAATGTAGGGTTGAAATAGGGAAGAGGAATATTTGCAGGGTAACTGTGGTAAAATATAGAGTCTTAAAATTTGATATGAGCTTCGCTAGAGGTGTATAGTTAAGATAACATTTTATTTTTGATATTCGTTCAATAGGAGTATGAAGTAAATAGTACAAAGTCACGTCCAATTGGTGAAAATGATTCAAAGAATAAACCCAGAATTTTGAAACATCATAAATATAACTTTTGCTATTCTTCGGTTCTAGAAATCCATCCTATCGGAAAAGGTATAAGAAAAGTGTGGTACTTAATTTCGTACAATTCATGTTTATAGAATGAATAGAGCTGAAATCTTGAAAATTTGGATTATAGTGTGTAAGTATATTATTCAAATTACAAAATAATATTAATTAAATCATAATATTAGTTATTACATTGCCGTTAGTGCTTAAATTTTATATTAAAACGTATATTTACGAGTGCAATTTTTTATTATTAATTTATTCGTACTTATATATTATCTGTCACCTAATCAATATTTCAGGTTGTATCTATAAACATGTTGTTACTAATTATTAATAATGAATACACAATAAACCAGTAAAATTATTACTGCTAACGAGCTGGCCAAATTATTGTACCCTACATTCATTTCACAATGTTTTAAAAATGTACAATGCAGTAGAGATCTCACGACTCCAACACAAGATGTTCTTTCTGGAATATCTCATATCTCAAAAGTTGATTGGACTTATATCGAAAGATAACAATGGATTTAGCCTCCCATAACAAAATAATCCAAATTAAGGGGACAAAATTTCCAAATAAAGCAGAAAACAAAACGAAAAAATGCAATTTGGATGATCACAAACAAATTTAGACAATATAATATTATTATTGAAACGAAACCATCGTCTGAGAAAAACTGGTCTAAGTTACCCACACACAAGTTCTTAAATGAAAGCAAATAGATTAAGAACTAATATGCGTACTGATGCAAACAAAACAAAAAACCAGAATTTTTGCCTCATTTCAAAGTGCAGATGAAGTAATCAGTGCGGTGAAAGGGATCAGGAAGCTTCAAAAATAATCTATAATTCTCTATAGAAGCTGGACTATTAATTTTTTGTTATGACAATTTTTTTTTTTTTTTTGTTAGAATTAAAAAAAATAAACAGCTATTATCACCTCTCTTCTCAAATGATTTCATATAAATAGATACATTGGTCTATTGAAAGCTGTTACTATATTTTGCCCAATAAAACAAGTCGGTAGGCTAGAAGTGATAGCTTCTTCAAAATGGTAAGCAATGGACAACAAATGTGTTTAACTGTAATGCAACTAAATAAGTGACGTTTTACTTTGGTGTATTGTTTAGAAATTTCTTATTATATTGGTGGTTGCGATTGCCGCAGTAACTGCAGACAGTGCAGGTTACAGTTATCCCAAGCCAGCTGCATCATCCCCTGTTCCGGCCAAACAAAAGGGTTATAGCTATCCAAAGCCCGAAAAACAATTCCCGGCTCCAGCTAAACAGCCAAGCTATAATAACCCCAAGCCAGCTGCTTCATCGCCAGTTCCAGTAAAACAAAGTTACTCTAATCCCAAACCAGCCGCCTCATCACCTGTACCAGTAAAACAAAAGGGTTACAGTTATCCAAAACCCGAAAAACAATTCCCGGCTCCAGCTAAACAGCCAAGCTATAATAACCCCAAACCATCCGCTTCCTCACCAGTTCCAGTAAAACAAAGTTACAATAATCCCAAACCAGCCGCCTCATCACCTGTAGCAGTTAAGGAAAAAGGCTATAGTTATCCCAAACCCGAAAAACAATTCCCCGCTCCAACTAAGAAAGAAACTTATAACAATTACAAACCAGCCGCAGCAGTTAAAAAGGAAAGTTACAACAATCCAAAACCTTCCGCCTCATCTCCAGTTCCAGCAAAACAAAAAGGCTATAATTATCCCCAACCATCAAAACCATTCCCTTCTCCCGCCAAAAAGGAAACTTATAACAATCCAAGACCAGCTGCCTCTGCTCCAGTTCCAACCAAAGAAAAGGGCTACAATTATCCCAAACCAGAAAAACCCTTCCAATCACCAAAACCTGCGGCATCCTCACCAGTGCCCGTCAAAAGTGGTTACAGCTATCCAAAGCCTTCAAAAGTTTTTAGATACTAAATATACTGTAAAAAAACGATAATTAGGATTTTAAAAATCGTCAAACGAAATTAAGATAATTTATTTATAGAATGATTTGAAAAAAAAAATTGTTTATAAAATGTTAATGTTAAGTTTATATAATCGATATTAAAAACGTCTTAGAAAATATACCAAAAATGTGTTTTAATTATTTTCATGAACAAAGATCATTGGTATTCGATTATTCAATTGAATGCAAAACAAGACAGCATCATATTTTAGTTCTAATTGTTGAATTTAATTAAAATCCAGATTGAATTTATTGACATGAATAAACATCGAAAGATCTGTTATATCTACCTGACTACGGATACATCTTTATGGTGCAGCTACAGCTACAAATCGAATGGGAAGAACAATGTATGTATAATTTACAGAAGTAGCGTAAACGAAAAAAAAATTCAGGCTGGACGTTTAAAATACAAAAAAAAAAGCCTGACTATTTTGCAAAAAAACCTTCAAAATACTTTTTTCAAAATCCACGCCTATTGCTGTTATAGTCCCTGTGAAAACTTCCTTTTAAAATCCACACCTATTGCCTATATAGCCCTCCAAAAATATTCTTTTTAAAATCCACACCTATTGCTGTTATAGTCCCTGAGAAAAATTCCTTTAAAAATCCACTCTGATTGCTGTTATAGTCCCTGAAAAAAAATTCCTTTTAAAATCCACTCTAATTGCTGTTATAGTCCTTGAGAAAACTTCCTTTTAAAATCCACTCTAATTGCTGCTATAGTCCCTGAGAAAACTTCCTTTAGAAATCCACTCTGATTGCTGTTATAGTCCCTGAAAAAAAAATTCCTTTTAAAATCCACTCTAATTGCTGTTATAGTCCTTGAGAAAACTTCCTTTTAAAATCCACTCTAATTGCTGCTATATTCCCTGAGAAAACTTCCTTTTAAAATCCACGCCTATTGCTGTTATAGTCCCTGAGAAAAATTCCTTTTAAAATCCACTCTAATTGCTGTTATAGTCCCTGAGAAAAAATCCTTTTAAAATCCACTCTAATTGCTGCTATAGTCCCTGAGAAAACTTCCTTTTAAAATCCACGCCTATTGCTGTTATATTCCCTGAGAAAAAATCCTTTTAAAATCCAAGCCTGTTGCTGTTATAGTCCCTGAGAAAAAATCCTTTTAAAATCCACGCCTATTGCTGTTAGGCTCTGAGAAAAAATCCTTTTAAAATCCAAGCCTGTTGCTGTTATAGTCCCTGAGAAAAAATCCTTTTAAAATCCACGCCTATTGCTGTTAGTCTCTGAGAAAAAATCCTTTTAAAATCCACGCCTATTGCTGTTATAGTCCCTGAGAAACAAATCCTTTTAAAATCCAAGCCTGTTGCTGTTATAGTCCCTGAGAAAAAATCCTTTTAAAATCCAAGCCTGTTGCTGTTATAGTCCCTGAGAAAAAATCCTTTTAAAATCCACGCCTATTGCTGTTAGGCTCTGAGAAAAAATCCTTTTAAAATCCAAGCCTGTTGCTGTTATAGTCCCTGAGAAAAAATCCTTTTAAAATCCAAGCCTGTTGCTGTTATAGTCCCTGAGAAAAAATCCTTTTAAAATCCACGCCTATTGCTGTTAGGCTCTGAGAAAAAATCCTTTTAAAATCCAAGCCTGTTGCTGTTATAGTCCCTGAGAAAAAATCCTTTTAAAATCCAAGCCTGTTGCTGTTATAGTCCCTGAGAAAAAATCCTTTTAAAATCCACGCCTATTGCTGTTATAGTCCCTGAGAAACAAATCCTTTTAAAATCCAAGCCTGTTGCTGTTATAGTCCCTGAGAAAAAATCCTTTTAAAATCCAAGCCTGTTGCTGTTATAGTCCCTGAGAAAAAATCCTTTTAAAATCCACGCCTAATGCTGTTAGTCTCTGAGAAAAAATCCTTTTAAAATCCACTCTAATTGCTGCTATAGTCCCTGAGAAAAAATCCTTTTAAAATCCAAGCCTGTTGTTGTTATAGTCCCTGAGAAAAAATCCTTTTAAAATCCACGCCTATTGCTGTTAGTCTCTGAGAAAAAATCCTTTTAAAATCCATGCCTATTGCTGTTATAGTCCTTGAGAAAAAATCCTTTTAAAATCCACGCCTATTGCTGTTATAGTTCCTGAGAAAAAATCATTTTAAAGTCCACTCCTACTGCTGTTAGTCTCTGAGAAAAAATCGTTTTAAAATTCACGCCTATTGCTGTTAAAGTCCCTAAGAAAAATTCGCTTTAAAATCCACGCCTATTGTTGTTAAAGTCCCTGACAAAACTTCCCTTTAAAATCCACGCCTATTGCTGTTATAGTCCCTGAGAAAAATTCCTTTTAAATTCCACGCCTATTGCTGTCCACGCATACTATATTCCCTGAGAAAAAAATGTTTTTAAAATTCACGCCTATTGCTGTCCACGCCTACTATAGTCCCTGAGAAAAAATCCTTTTAAAATCCACGCCTATTGCTGTTATAGTCCCTGAGAAAAAAATCCTTTTAAAATCCACGCCTATTGCTGTTATAGTCCCTGAGAAAAATTCCTTTTAAATTCCGCGTCTATTGCTGTCCACGCATACTATAGTCCCTGAGAAAAAAATGCTTTTAAAATTCACGCCTATTGCTGTCCACGCCTACTATAGTCCCTGAGAAAAAAATGCTTTTAAAATGCACGTCTACTGCTGTCCACGCCTACTATAGTCCCTGAGAACAAATCCCTTTTAAAATTCACACCTATTGCTGTCCACGCCTACTATAGTCCCTGAGAAAAATTCCTTTTAAATTCCGCGCCTATTGCTGTCCACGCCTACTATAGTCCCTGAGAAAAAATCCATTTAAAATTCACCCCTATTGCTGTCCACACCAACTATAGTCCCTGACAAAAAATCCATTTAAAATTCACGCCTATTGCTGTCCACGCCTACTATAGTCCCTGAGAAAAAATCCTTTTAAAATGCACGCCTATTGCTGTCCACGCCTACTATAGTCCCTGAGAAAAAATCCTTTTAAAATTCACGCCTATTGCTGTCCACGCCTACTATAGTCCCTGAGAAAAAATCCATTTAAAATTCACGCCTATTGCTGTCCACGCCTACTATAGTCCCTGAGAAAAAAAACCATTTAAAATTCACGCCTATTGCTGTCCACGCCTACTATAGTCTCTGAGAAAAAATCCTTTTAAAATTCACGCCTATTGCTGTCCACGCCTACTATAGTCCCTGAGAAAAAATCCTTTTAAAATTTACGCCTATTGCCGTCCACGCCTACTATAGTCCCTGAGAAAAAATCCTTTTAAAATTCACGTCATTGCTGTTCACTCCTGCTATAGTCCCTGAGAAAAAAAATCCTTTTAAAATCCACGCCTACTATAGTCCCTGAGAAAAAATCCTTTTTAATAACCGCGACTATTGCTGTTATAGTCCCTGAAAAAAATCCTTTTAAAATTCACGCCTATTGCTGTCCACGCCTACTATAGTCCCTGAGAAAAAATCCTTTTAAAATTCACGCCTATTGCTGTCCACGCCTACTATAGTCCCTGAGAAAAAATCCTTTTGAAATTCACGCCTTTTACTGTCCACGCGTACTATAGTCCCTGAGAAAAAATCCTTTTAAAATTCACGCCTATTGCTGTCCGCGTCTACTATAGTCCCTGAGAAAAAATCCGTTTTAAAAACCACGCCTATTGCTATTATAGTCCCTGAAAAAAATTCCTTTTAAAATTCACGCCTATTGCTATCCACGCCTACTATTGCGATTAAGGACCTTGAAAAAAATCCTTTACAAATTCCTGTATATTCCTTGCCTAACTAACATTTAACTATCAACTACATATGCTTTAATAATGTCCAGATGAATAGTCTGAAGAATCTGGGACAAGTGTTCCAACGATTTTATTATATCATTTATAATAAAATTTTTATTTTCTTCTCTAAAAAGAAGTAGCAGACCTGTTTAGAAATTTCCGAAAGAATGAGCAAATTTCCGAAATTGTAGAAAATATACGAAGATTTTTCCAAACCTTCGAAGTTGTATTTAAACTTTAAATTTAAAATGTGCGCGTTTGAAGCACACTCTCCACTGGTAATGTTGTTTATAACTGATTTTTTTTAAATTCGTAATGCGCAGGTGCGACATTGTACAGTACTATTTCCTTTTCACTGAACATACCCCACTGGTCTTCAACTTTTAATTATTTCAAGCATACTTTTAGGATGTGAAACAATTTACGTATAATTTAACAATTCCACAATATTTTGCATATTCGAAATAAAATTCAACATTATTATTAACCATGTGCAGAATAATAACAAAATCGTTACTTACCTGAATACTAATCTGAAAGAAGATGAAATAAAAAAATGGCTATTAGTGCTGAGTTAACAGGGTGCTTCATATAACAGTTTGTTATAAACAAATATATTTTGTTGGATATTTATATTGCCACCACTACATACCAATGGATATAAAATTATTTCGAGTTTGCACCTAAAAATATGTAACTAAAGATAATTGTTTTAATATTGAAGATTTTTTTTTTTTTTTTTTGGAACCGGTTATTGCATTGGAATAGTTATATGCGACATAACTTTACCGTCTGGAAATAATGGATGACATAATCTTGAGCAAAGGCGGGATTTTTGGAAATTCGAACTAGAAGGGCAGGAAGAGTACTTAAATGTTTTAAATATGGTGACCTTTGTATTAGGCAAACGGGAAGAGCTAGAATTCTGAAATTTGGAATTTGGCACACTGATGGAAAGAAAGTCGACCTATAAGTGTACAAAAAGTACTAAATTTATTTCTAATTATATATTTATTGAATATATATCTAGATCTAGAACTTTGAAATTGTGTAAGGAATACAGGTTGGGAAGTGGTGTTGATGTATGAAAATGGTTTTTGAATACGTATTCGGATCGAGCTATAAAGACAGTTTGGAAATTCGAAATTTATGTGTACGAAAAGTACTAAACGGCTCTAGATTTGGTACAATTTGGATTTGGGTGGACGGAGAGAACTGGAGAGCTTAAAATTTGGAATAATGGTTGCTTTTGGAGTGTTGACTTCAGATATGGAAGTATAGTACTTATGTGTACTATATTGTACAACATGATTATATTATATATAAGACCAGTAAGGAAAGGCCGAAAGTTGGACGGGCCAAAGTGGTGAAGGGTATCACCACTTTGGGTACCAATCTGAAATTTATGAAAAATTTACTGTCAATCATTGAGCAAAATATGTAAAAGATCTATTTATAAATGGACACAGTGCGCCATCCGAACTTTATCTCGACACAAAATCCAATACAAAAATTGGCATGCATCAATCTAGACCTAATTCAGTACTATGTGCAAAATTTTGTCTCAATCGGATAAATATCTGTAGTATGGTGTACCATTTACAGATTTCAACATAACTTCGCATACATAAATTTGGACCTTCTTCAGTACGATGCGCAAAATTTTGTGCCAATCGGCCTAAATTTGACTCGTTGGTGCTCCATTAACATAATATCGGACGAAACTATGTATGGGGGCTATATCTAAATCTGAACCGATTCCAACAAAACTTGACATACATCAATCTAGACATAATTTAGTACTCTGTGCAAAATGTTGTCTCAATCGGACAAATATTGGGAGTTTGGTGCCCCATTTACCTAAAATCGGACGAAACTATATATGGGAGCTATATCTAAATCTGAACCGATTAAAAAAAAGTCGAATACATCAAACTGGGTTTATTCAATATTCTGTGCAAAATTTTGTCTCAATCGGACAAATTTAGTTGTAGTATGGTGATCTATTTACCTAAAATCGGACGAAACTATATATGGGAGCTATATCTAAATATGAACCGATTTCAACAAAACTTCGCTTCGTTCGTTTGTTATAATGGGACACAAATATGTAAATCGACTTCAAACAAATATCAATATGACATTCATTGGGCTATGTCTGTACTTCTAGAAAACGATGTGATGTAAATGGTGCACCAAAGACCCTAAATATCTTTCGATTTACACGACATTTGGCACAGGGTACTGAATTAAACCTAGAATGATGTGTGCTAAGTTTCCTGAAAATCGGTTCAGATTTCTATATAGCTCCACATTATCTATATATCTTCCGATTTTCACGAAATTTGGCATAGCGTACTGAATTAAGCGTAGAATGACGTGTTCTAAGTTTCCTGAAAATCGGTTCAGATTTCGATATAGCTCCCATATATATTTTCGTCCGATTTAAGGTAAATGGTGCACCAAAGGCCCTATATATCTTTCGATTTGCACGAAATGTGGTACAACGTAATGAATTAGGTCTAGAATGGTGTGTGTTAAGTTTCCTGAAAATCGGTTCAGATTTCGATATAGCTCCCATATATATTTTCGTCCGATTTAATGTAAATGGTGCACCAAAGTCTCTATATATCTTTCGATTTGCACGAAATTTGGCATAGTGTACTGAATTAACTCTAGAATTAAATCCGTTCAGATTTAGGTATAGCTCCCATATATATTTTCGTCTGATTTTACATAAATGGTACACCAAACTCCTAATGTTTGTCCGATTAATGCGAAATTTTGCACAACGTATAAAATTGAAACTTGAATGCCGTTATTGGGTTTTGTTGAAATTGGTGCAGATCCAGCCATAGCATCCATATGTATTTCGAACGGGTGTCTGATTGAGATTAAATGTTTAACAGTGCGGCGTACCGAATAACAATTTTATAAATCATTTTCAATAAATTTGTCCTATGGTACGCAGACGACTCAAAATCTTCCCGAATTAAATTAAATTTATCATAGGTAGCAGAAAGACATGAGTATGTTCTTTCGAAGGAACATTGACATACAATTGTAAGGATACATATGTACAATATGCCCAAGTGGCCTAGTCCGACTTTACTACTTTCCATACTGTTTTTTTGTGTGCAAAATTCGTAATATAAGTGTGTGCGAAAAGTTCTAAAGTCACTAAAAAGACACAAGAGTGCTTTACAAACCCTTTTTCTCGAAACAGTATGGCAGTCATGATAACTCAAAAACTAATAATACAATCGGTTCCCAATTTTAAAACGTTATTCTGTACGTAATTACTAAATTGTTGACTCAGCAGTCTTGACGAAAACACAAAACATAGCTAAGAATTTTATTTGGGATTTAGAAAATGTTCCAAAACAATTACATCATTGAATCGTCTATAATATACAGGTTTTAAACCAAACTTTACTAAAGCAATGATAGTATTTAAAACCATATTTAGTATTTGTCATTCATTTTAGCACTTTTAGTTCGAATTTCCATAAACTCGTTTTGTACGCAATTTCGGTTACTATAGGCATACACAAATGTAAAACCCTCGAAATTTATGCTCAACCAAATATGTTGTAGGGGAGAGGGAGCACCTTTGAACACTTTTTTTATTCAAGCCTCATAAAATTTTTTTATTTTGTAATTTTATATTTTGCTCTTACAACAACAAAAATTAAAAGTTTACAATGGCACTGCGAAAACATGGTCACTCATATAAATTTTTTCGACAACTGAAAAAGCTAGCCAAAATTATTTACGCAGATAAAGAAAAAGATTGACAAATAAAAACCAGCAAGGAAAGAAGTAAAGTCGGATTGGACCGACTAGACTTAATTCAGTGCGATATGCAAAATTTTGTGCAAATGGAAAGATATTTAGGGACTTTGATGTACCATTTACCTGAAATCGGACAAAAATATATATGGGAGCTTTATTTAAATCTAAACCGATTTTCACGAAACTTCACATACGTCATTCTAGGCCTAATTCAGAACGCTTTGTCGTATTTCGTTCAAATCGAAAGATATTTAGGGACTTTGCTGCACCATTTACCTTAAATCGGACGTAAATATATATGGGAGCTATATATAAATCTGAACCGATTTCCACGAAACATAGCACACATCTTCCTAGATTTAATTTAGTACGCTATGCCAAATTTCGTGCAATCGAAAGATATTTAGGGACTTTGACGCACCATTTACCTTAAATCGGACGAAATTATATATGGGAGCTATATCTAAATCTGGACCGATTTCCACGAAACTTAACACACATCTAGACTTAATTTGGTACGCTTGGCCAAATTTCGTGTAAATCAAAAGATATTTAGAGACGTTGACGCACCATTTACCTTAAATCGGATGAAATTATATATGGGACCTATATCTAAATCTAGACAGATTTTTCCCAATTTCAATTGGGTTCGTCCTTGGGCCAAATAAATGAGCTGCGACCTGTCGACTCAGAAAATGATTCTATGCATATTTTCAAAAGGAACCATGGGTATATCACGTTTCCCTTTGCCTGTTACAAAAATATGCACAAATACATAAAACCTTGTACCACAGTGTGGCGAAGGGTACACAAATTGGCTGCGGGTCGGAAAAAATTTAAACCGAAAATTAAGGAGCGTTGTTCAAAGGTGCCCCCTTCCCCCCTCCTCTATCTTATCATGGTCTACAAATACCTTTTATTACTTCTGGTACCCTTTGAAAAATGTTGATGTTTTTGTTACATCGTTTTTTAGAAAGTGAAACTTATTTTTCACTTTACTAACACATTGAAACAAATGTCATGCGTTCGACAACAAATACATTAATTTATTTGTTATAATAATTCAGCTATATGTTACATTAATTTTCTAATTTGATGATAACTATTTGCATAGAAATAGTTTCATTATTTAGAAACGACGGTGACGACGGATGACACGACGACGATTGGTCTTGTAACGGTAACCATCAGCTGAGGAGAAGCTGTGAGCTGGTTCAGATGCACCAGTTTCATAGGATTCGGTGTAGGTGGCAGCGGGAGCAGAGTAGGAAGCAGCTGGGGCGGAGTAGGAAGCAGCTGGGGCAGAGTAGGAAGCAGCTGGGGCAGAGTATGAAGCAGCTGGGGCAGAATAAGAAACAGCAGGAGCGGCGGCAGCGGGAGCCAAATATTGAGTAGATGGAGCAGAAGCAGCACCTTGAACGGGTGGCAAGTATTCAGTGCCTACATCACGACGATGACGACGACGGTAGACAACACGACGGTTGGTCTTGTATTTGTAACCTTCTTCAGATGAGAAAGTGTGAGCGGGAGCAGAAGCACTAACGTCATATGATTCCGAAACAGTAGCAGCTGGAGCAGAGTATGAAGCTTGAACGGTTTGGGTAGCAGCTGGAGCAGAGTAGGAAGCTTGGACGGCTTGGGTAGCAGCTGGAGCAGAGTAGGAAGCTTGAACGGTTTGAGTAGCAGCAGGAGCGGAATAAGAATATTTGCCGGCTTGGGTAGCAGCTGGAGCAGAGTAGGAAGCTTGAACGGTGTGGATAGCAGCTGGAGCTGAGTAAGAAGCTTGGGCTGAGTGGGTAGCAACAGGAGCCGAGTAGGAAGCCTGAGCGGATTGAGTAACGGCTGGTGCAGAGTACGAAGCCTGAACGGAGTGTGTGGCAGCTGGGGCAGCATGTGAAACAGCTGGAGCCGAGTAAGAAGCCTGGACAGAGTGGCTTACAGCTGGTGCAGAATGAGTAACAACTGGGGCGGTATATGATGCTTCAGCAGAGTAAGTGGCAGCTGGAGCGGCATGAGTAACAGCTGGAGCCGAATAGGTAGCCTTAGCTGAGTATGAAGCAGCAGGTGCTGAAGCATGTCCTTCATTGGGTGGCAAATATGTATTGCTCAGATGGCTGACATCAGCAGTTGCCACAGCAACCAAGGCAAAGAGGGCAACAAAGATTTTCTACAAGAAAATTTCAAAATTTAAAATTAGTATTCGTCTTAGTTTCTGAATATGTTCGTCTCCGTGTCAACTTTGTACTAACCATTTTGTGAAAAGTTTATCTCTTAGCTGTTGTATTAACCACGATAAAATGATACTCTATGCAGAGAAATGAATTGCATTTATATACCAAAAAACTGATATCTATCGATGATTGCAGATAATACAGTTATTGTTTTTATTTTAATTCTATTTTTATTGAATCATAATTAGTAATAATTTCGCGTGTGCGTGTGTTTTATTAAAAAAAACCACACAAATTTAATACGGTGTACAGGTTTATTGTTTCCTTTCGAAAACAACCTGAAGGAAATATAATAAATGTTTGCACAAGAGCTTGTTTCAAACGTGCCATTGATAGAACTTGTATACCATGCTTTGAACTAGACAAATAGCCGTTAATTTTTCCAAATCAGTGTTTTTTTTTCAAAACAGGAGGTTTGAATATATTGCTTTTTATTTATTTATGATTTGTTTCCCCTTCTATTTTAAGAAAATTTTATTAGTTTTATAAACATGATTTGATTATTGTTAGTCTTGTGGTTTTCTTTTCATTCATAAACAATAGCGTGATGCATCATAAAAGGGGATTTTTTCGAATATGTATATGTATGATAGTAAAATGAAAAAAAAAACAATAGACATATTGTTCAAAAAATATCACTGGACCAGAATGCTTTTTTGGGAAGGTGCTAGACTTCTTGTCCTTTCGATTCTAAATAAGAAATTATTATTTATACAACAAGTAAAAACTTCGTTATGATCGGACGGGCCCAAATTGTTATACCCTCTACCATGTAGTAACGGCTAAAGTCTTCAATATACAGAGCTCTACCCAAACATGGATGGATATTTACAATACCATGCATACTAGGAGAAGTTGCAATGTCTGTGTAAAACTTCAAATCGTTTTTCGTGGAGTAAAACTAAAAATGTAACAAAGTGTTACAAGAACTAATTACATGTGATTGTTTGTAGAAAATCCGAGTTTTATGTCATGCTAAAGGTGTCTGCTAATAAACGAATTATTAATATTTTTGCAAAACAAAACTCAGAATCAAAAATTACATAAAAATTAATATTCCATACGAAATTGACAGTAAATTAAGGAAATTAAGATGTATTAGAGCTTGGAAGTTATCTAAACTAAAATCGGATAGACTTTTTAGAAATTAGAAAGTGTTTAGAAGTACCTATATATGTGGTATTGTATACAGTGGATGTTGGAGAATCCTAGATCCTAGTTTTGAGCTACTGGTCTGATGTTTTAACCGGTCACAGTTTAGTTTAACAAACATTTTTGGGAAATATTTCAGATAGTAACTATGTTGTCAGGGTATTATAGCTTTGTGCAGCCTAAAGAGTTTGTAACGCCGCGAAATATTGGTCCTAGACCCACCTTTAAGTATACCGATCGTCATATCTCGACTAGCTGAGTCGATCTAGACATGTGTGTCTTTCCGTCTGTCCATTATAATTTGTAAACACGATACAGGTCACAGTTATGGACCAATCTTTACGAAATTTTGCATGTAGGATAGGTTCTGTCCAATGAAGACCCCTATTGTTTTTGGTTAAGATCGGTTAATATTTACGGGATGAAATGGACCAAATACTAAATTTTTGACGGTTTTTCTGGTCGCTCCAGAGGCCGCAAATAGGGCTCATACATCGCGATTTTTTACATGGGGAAGGGGATCGGGCCAAAGAATGAGCATGCCAGCTTTGATAAAGATTTGACAATATTTAGCGCGTAAAAATGGGCCCTGACTTTTGTGTGAAAATGACAAAATTTGTATTCTATGGCATATATATTTACTCCTAAAGGACACAGACCCGAGAAGTTGATAATATATCCAAGAGGAGTCGATACCAATTATTTTGTCGTATGTACTTGGATGTGATTATGTATTCATATTTACACGTGATTATGTATTCATTAGTAACCCATTACCATAGTAGAGGACGGGAAGATAGCGTTGATCGCATTGAAATTTTCCATGGGGTCACAATTATGGTCTGGGACAGCGCCGATAATTTTCGGTGATGATCAGATAATAATTTTGGGATGAATTGGACCGTAAACATAATATTTTTGTATTTTTCGAATCGTACCATAGTAGAGGACGGGAAGATAGCGTTGATCGCATTGAAATTTTCCATGGGGTTCCAGTTATGGTCTAGGACAGCGCCGATAATTTTCGGTGATGTTCAGATAATAATTTTGGGATGACTTGGACCGTAAACATAATATTTTTGTATTTTTCGAATCGATCTATAGGCCACCAGTATAAGCCGAACATCACCATACAACCCACGGCGAAGGCAATTTGGACAAGTAACTAGAAGGGCTGTACTGAATATTAGTAATATTCAGTATGGAAGAGGCGCTGTTGACCTCTAATCGGGCAAGAAGGTGCAAATGTTACGAAATATTGCTCCGGGTCGGAATAAACATCCGCATAAAGTTAGATTTCCGTGGTAGCTGTGTAGGGTATCGTATGGTCGGCCACGTCCGACTATACTGCTCCGCTCACTGGTTTCGATCTATTTTTGTGACACCAGTAACTGCAATAAATGCAAATCCAACATATAAATTACAGCCAACTTGGTGGAAAACGTGTCCGAAATTACGGAGGTACAATTATATGGGAACTACATTAAAAAGTTGACCAATATGGATAGTTTTTAATAGGAAGATTTGCAACCCAATTAGAACATAATGTACATAAAGACATAATAAAGAGCTAATTGGTTTAAAAAAGTGCGCAAAATCCCAAAAATTCCGAATAATGAAGTACATACAGCATACCGGTATATGGGGCCACCCGAAAACCTCATCCAATATTGATCATTTTTGGTAGAGAAATTTTCTTTACAATGAGAACTACAAATACCAAATTACAAGTAATTCGGTTGAAAAACGAACCCAACATCGACAAAATACCCAACAAGCTGGAGGCGTGACTCGCCCTATTTTTTTTATAAACCACTGTTTCTAACATTAGAATTCTACACTCAAAATTTGGTGAAGCTAGCTTGTCGGGATATACTTTATGCCGCTAAATTCACGATTTCAGCCATAGTGCGCCGCAACCGTCCTGATGACAGCCACATCCCATTGCATCCGATTTCAAGAAGGGACCCAAGTGGTTGAACCTTTCGCTCCGTCGCAACCGTCTTGGTGTCAGCCACTTGACCGGCAAAGAATACTTGCCTCCTTTTCAACAACAAACCCAAGTTGTTGAAGAAGTAGCTCCCGTTGTCGTTGAACAAGTTGTTGTTGCCCAGGAATTCGCCGATGATGGTTGCCGTTATAAGACCACCGTCGCGTTGTCTAACCATCATCATTAAGGAACGCCGAACAAGCTGCTGCCTCGATTCGGAAAATTACAGGAAGCCCATTCATTTAATTGTTGGGAGAAAATTCTAAATCATTGCATTATTTTACAAGACTGCCCATTCTCAAACTTGGCCCAAATATTGCGAACGGACCATGTGATATGCATTCAAAATGCTAGTAAATTGTTTATGCACTAAAAAAATTACATACCCTCAGATTGGAAGAATGGACTAGGAACTGCAACATGAAGAAAAAAATTAAAGGGTCCTGTGTTTAGCACCCAACTCAGAATGCCACATCCGAACATGAACACGGAATACCAAATTACAACAACTTTGGTGGAAAATGATGAGGGAAATTTATATGGAGGCATTATAAACCCATGAATCTATATCGAACATTTTCTACTGTGATGTTTTTCTCCCGCAATATCAAATTACCACCACTACGGTGGATATGTTGAAGGTGGGAATTTTCGAATCAATCTTGGTGCTACAACTAAAAAATATCAATATTGGTCCACTTTTTAGATAAACCCCCCCTACAACAAAACCTCCTAAATTTCTACATTTCTGGTTTTTGAAGTTTTATATTTTGAATTTTTTTAATAGAAAATCTCCCAACCAAAAATTTTCAATATTGGTAGAACCCCATTATTCAGTATTTTTATTAGATCCCCATTACTAGTATTTACATTTTTCAACCCAATTGGCTCTAAATTAAATATCTGTATTGGTATTGCAGCCCAAACTAAGTGTCTATATTTTACATTTTCTTCAGACAGCAATTTACCATATTAAAAGTCCCAACCGATTTAAGATAAATTGAAGGTGAACCTGAATTTTCACTTGTTTTTAACGTTTTTATCATACCTTTCGGATTGATGTGGAGATGGTAAAAAATTATTTATTGGATAACTCAAAAGAAGAAACAAAATATTTTTTGTTCAATAATCTATGTTCTTTATTAGATTTCAAGGCTTTTCAGCTAACGTGGCAAAATCTTATTTACAGTTTAGAAACGACGGTGACGACGAATGACACGACGACGTTGGGTCTTATAACGATAGCCATCGGTGGAGGAGAAGGTATGAGCGGGGGCCGAAGCACCAGTATCATAGGATTCGGAATAAGAAACGGCTGGGGCAGAGTACGAGGCAGCTGGAGCAGAGTATGAGGCAGCTGGAGCCGAATAGCTAGCAGCAGAATAAGATGGAGCCGAATACGATGGTGCTGGGGCCGAAGCTGCTGGTGGCAAATATTCACTGGATGGAGCAGAAGCAGCACCTTGTACAGGTGGCAAGTATTCAGTGCTTACATCACGACGATGGCGGCGACGATAGACACGACGACGGTTGGTCTTGTACTTGTAACCTTCAGCAGAGGAGAAAGTGTGGGCAGGAGCAGAAGCGCCAGCATCATAAGATTCGGTGTAGGTAGCGGCTGGGGCAGAGTATGAGGCAGCTGGAGCTGAGTATGAGGCAGCTGGAGCAGAGTAGGATGCAGCTGGGGCAGAGTAGGAGGCAGCTGGAGCGGAGTAGGAAACAGCGGGTGCCGAGTATGATGCAGCTGGTGCCGAGTAAGAAGCAGCTGGTGCCGAGTAAGAAGCAGCTGGTGCCGAGTAAGAAGCAGCTGGTGCCGAGTAGGAAGCCGAATAAGTGGCAGCTGGAGCACTGTACGAAGCCACTGGTGCTGAGGCATGTCCTTCATGAGGCGGCAAGTATTCGGTGCTGACATGGCTGGCATCACCATTTGCCAAAGCTAGCACGGCACACAAAACAATAAAGAATTTCTAAAGAAATTCCAAAAACAAAAATCAAATTGTTTTAATTCACAAATTAAAAACCCACTTCTCGAAATACTAACCATTTTGTTTGGAAGTGTCGATCTCCTATCGTCGGAAGAATCCAAGAGGAAATGATACCTTATGCAGCCAAATTACCTGGCTTTTATAGTCACGACAAATTATTCGGGAATTGGAAGATTTGCATAAATTCTGCATCAACGGCAATCATAATTATTTATGGTCTTCTATAATTGGAAACAAATGTGGACGGGTTTTTCGTTTGAGAAACAAATCCAGTCTTGTGGGAGCCTTCCGCTCCTCGGCCTGTCAGGCGGGTTTGCTGTTTCTAGCAAACAACCATTAACACATTACGTTTACCATTAGAGCGGGTCTCAGACAAATGGCCAGGGTAATTAATTTTTATTTTGTTTTGATCGAAGAAGCGTAAAAAGTACCACGAAAGAAAAAGAGTTTTTTTTGTTTTTTTTTATATTTTATTATAATTTTTTTTCTCATACTTTCATGTCAATGGTTTTTGGCTAAAGAACAATTCTGAGAATGGAAAGTCTTATAAAGTAATGCTATAATTTAGATTTCCCCCAGCAAAATCTGGGGATATAATCCAAAATCTAAACGAATGGGGTTCCTGTTATGTTCCGAGTCGTGGACAGCAGCTTGTTCGACGTTCTTTAATGACGACGGTAGACAACGCGACGGTGAGTCTTGTAACGGTAACCATCATCGGCCAATTCATGGGCAGGTTGAGGTTCAACAACAACTTGTTGAACGGGAGCTACTTCTTCAACAACTTGGGTTTGTTCTTGAACAGGAGGCAAGTATTCGTTGGATGGCAAGTGGCTGACATCACGACGGTTGCGACGGTAGACAACACGACGGTGGGTCTTGTAACGGTAACCATCATCGGCCAATTCATGAGCAGGTTGAGGCTCAACAACAACTTGTTGTTGGGTTGGGGGCAAATATTCGTTGGTTGGGACAGCGACGGGAGCTACGGATTCAACAACTTGGCTTTGTTGTTGAACAGGGGGCAAGTATTCGTTGGATGGCAAGTGGCTGACATCACGACGGTTGCGACGGTAGACAACGCGACGGTGGGTCTTGTAACGGTAACCATCATCGGCCAATTCATGGGCAGGTTGAGGTTCAACAACAACTTGTTGAACGGGAGCTACTTCCTCAACAACTTGGGTTTGTTCTTGAACAGGAGGCAAGTATTCGTTGGATGGCAAGTGGCTGACATCACGACGGTTGCGGCGGTAGACAACACGGCGGTGAGTCTTGTAACGATAACCATCATCGGCCAATTCATGGGCAGGTTGAGGCTCAACAACAACTTGTTGAACGGGAGCTACTTCCTCAACAACTTGGGTTTGTTCTTGAACAGGAGGCAAGTATTCGTTGCTGGGCAAGTGGCTGACATCACGACGGTTGCGACGGTAGACAACACGACGGTGGGTCTTGTAACGGTAACCATCATCGGCCAATTCATGAGCAGGTTGAGGTTCAACAACAACTTGTTGTTGGGTTGGGGGCAAATATTCGTTGGTTGGGACAGCGACGGGAGCTACGGATTCAATAACTTGGCTTTGTTGTTGAACAGGAGGCAAGTATTCGTTGGATGGCAAGTGGCTAACATCACGACGGTTGCGACGGTAGACAACGCGACGGTGGGTCTTGTAACGGTAACCATCATCGGCCAATTCATGGGCAGGTTGGGGTTCAACAACAACTTGTTGAACGGGAGCTACTTCTTCAACAACTTGGGTTTGTTCTTGAACAGGAGGCAAGTATTCGTTGCTGGGCAAGTGGCTGACATCACGACGGTTGCGACGGTAGACAACGCGACGGTTGGTCTTGTAACGGTAACCATCATCGGCCAATTCATGGGCAGGTTGAGGTTCAACAACAAGTTGTTGTTGGGCTGGGGGCAAATATTCGTTGGTGGGAGCAGGAACAGAGGTATCTAGCTGTACTGGGGGTAAGTATTCGTTGGATGGCAAATGACTGACGTCAGCAGCGACAGCAGCAATAACTGCAAATACAACGAGGAAGAATTTCTGCAAGAAGAAAGGACAAATATTATGTGGAGGGACACTTCGGTAAACACTCCGGAAGACAAGCGGGACCTACCATTTTCCTGCTTTTGCTTGCGATTCTCAACTAGTAATTGGAACTCACTAATCCACTGACTTTACAAACTGTAGGCAGAACTGTGTATGCTTACAGTAGTAACTCTAAGAGTAGAATGTTGTAGTCACAGAACTATTTCTTACTATTTATACACAAATCTGTCTCCGGCTGAGAGATGGAACATCGCCAATCGACCCACGTTGATAATTTGTAATTCTTATTTCCAAACACAAAAGATGGCAAAAAAGAATACCCAACTTACACACACACGCGTACACATTGATAGTTATTTGGCTCTCAGCTTCTCTGCAAAACTATTGAGCAGAGTCGATAGTCGAAGACACATAAAAAGTACCACAAAAGAAAGAGAGATTTTTTGTTTTGTTTTTTTTATTTTATTATTTATTTTTTCTCATATTTTCATGTCAATGGATTTTGGCTAAAGAACAAGTCTGAGAGCGGAAAGTCTTATAAAGTAATGCTAAGATTTAGATTTCCCCCAGCAAAATCTGGGAATATAATCCAAGATCCAAACGAATGGGATTCCTGTTATGTTCCAACTCGTGGACAGCAATTTGTTCGACCTTCTTTAATGACGACGGTAGACAACGCGTCGGTGGGTCTTGTAACGGTAACCATCATCTGTCAATTCATGGGCGAGGGCAGGTTAATTAACGGCAACAGTGACTTGTTCTACAGGGGCGGCGGTTTCAACAAGTTGGGTTTGTTGTTGAACGGAGGGCAAGTATTCGTTGGATGGCAAGTGGCTGACATCACGACGGTTGTGACGGTAGACAACACGACGGTGGGTCTTGTAACGGTAACCATCATCGGCCAATTCATAGCTCCCGTTCAACAAGTTGTTGAAGCTACTTCTTCAACAACTTGGGTTTGTTCTTGAACAGGAGTAGGGTTTGGTAATTCCTGACTTGTTCTCATTCCCGGGAAATCGGGAATTCAAAAATTTCATTCCCGGGTCTTTTTACAACTTTTATAAATAAAAATATAAGAGGGTAGGGTTGATATATTTATTAATTAAATAATTTTATTTGTAAACAAGTGAAAAAAGCGTTAAGTTCGGCCGCGCCGAACTTTGGATACCCTCCACCATAGGTATACTAACAGACCTATACCGATATTTCTACAAACCCATTTATGTACATCAAATACAAATTCCGGCAATTTTTAATGTATATTTTTCCTGCAAACCCCAAAAATTGGACCGATATTGACGACGCATTGTAGGATGGTCCATCCTACAAAATACTGTAATTTAGAGGTATCAGTTGTATATGACCATTACCAACGTATACAGATTTTATTTGGGAAAAGGAAGCTGTTGGTGAAAATTTTCATTGCAGAAAAAATGCATATGAGTACGTCCCTGAAGCCGATACATAAGGCGGGACCAATATTGATTACATCGTGTAGGAAATACATTACCATTATATGAGGTGAGATGCCTAATAATAACTTCCTTTACGCTAAATATTAAAAATACCAAAAATCAGTAGGGGACTATACCTAACTGCGGGCCGATATAGTTCATTCTCGAACCTCACGTTCCTCATGTAGAAATATTTTCAACAAAGTCTTAGAACCAAACCCAAAACGAGGAACAAATCAGATAACTATTTTAATATAAACAAGTGAAAAAGAGCGTTAAGTTCGGCCGGGCCGAACTATGGATACCATAGGTATACTAACAGATACTTGCAACGAAAATATAGAGAACATACCTAAAATTGGACCTATGCCGATAATTCTACAAACCTCAAAATACCGAAAATTGGGGGGGGGGGGTACCTTTATAGGGGGGGCTATCCGAAAAAATTAACCTATATTTATAAGTTCTAATGGGGAGATTTTCTACCTAAAAAGACTATAACTATAACTTATAGGGGTTGACATTTCAACCGTTTCAATTTAATTTCAAAACATTTAACATTGTCAACCTTGGCACATCCGTATTCCTCAAAGTATCTGCGTTTCTTAAAACTTTAGTAGAGATATAATTTTTAGTCACGTCGGTCACTGATTCAAGCTTTAATAGATTTTTGTAATATCTGTAAAATTAAATGATCAATGGAATTTTGTTGAAATTACAATGTTTCAAGGCAGCATCTGCAATAAAGCTTCTACTGGTTCTTTAAATGTATGGTATGATTCCAGCAGAAGAACCGTCCTTTAGGACTTTCCGAATAAATTTCTAATAAACTTCGCCCCATCTGAAACAGTTGCTACAATGTGGTTTGAAAATCATAATTCAAGCTGGTTTCTTTCATAATTTTTCGAATTTCGAACCACATTAAAATATCTTAGTGATATACCGGCCAATATTCCAGCATGAGATAAACCGGCCATTTTTTTAACTTGAAAACTTTGAAAATTTCTGTAATAAATCTAGGTATATTTAGAAATGTTATTTCTCGTTTTCCTGGGAAATAATATCGGGAAATCCGGGGAATACCCGGGATGCGAATTCCCGACCCCAAACCCTAAAGAGGAGGCAAGTATTCGTTGCTTGGTAAGTGGCTGGCATCACGACGGTTGTGAAGGTAGACAACGCGACGGTGGATCTTGTAACGGTAACCATCATCGGCCAATTCATGGGACGGTTGAGGTTCAACAACAAGTTGTTGTTGGGCTGGGGGCAAATATACTTTGGTTGGGACAGCGACGGGAGCTACCGATTCAACAACTTGGGTTTGTTTTCGAACAGGAGGCAAGTATTCGTTGCTGGGCAATTGTCTGACATCACGACGGTTGCGGCGGTAGACAACATTATCGGTGGGTCTTGTAACAGTAACCATCATCGGCCAATTCATGGGCAGGTTGAGGTTCAACAACAAGTTGTTGTTGGGCTGTGGCCAAATATTCGTTGGTGGAACAGGAACAGAGGTATCTAGCTGTACTGGCGGTAAGTATTCCTTGGAGGGAAAATGGCAGACGTCAGCAGCAATAACTGCAAATACAACCAGGAAGAATTTCTGCTACCATTCTACCTGCCATTTTCCTGCTTCTGCTTGCGATTCTCAACTAGTAATTGAAACTCACTAATCCACTGTGTATGCTTACAGTAGTAACTCTAACGTCGCCAATCGACCCCATGTTGATTATTTGTATTTCTTATTTCCAAACACAAAATATGGCAAAAAAGAATAAAGTAGATATCGGATATAAGACACTCAAAAAAAATCCGGTGATTTCTTTCTTATATGCGTTATTTTTCTTATATGAAATTATCGGATATAAGAAAGTATAAGCTCCGCGTTTTTGATCATCTTTCTTATATGCGATTTTTTCTTATATGAGATGTGCTTATATCCGATATCTACTGTACCCATCTTACACATACACGCGTACACATTGATAGTTATTTGGCTCTCAGCATCTCTCTATTGAGCAGAGTCGAAGAAGCGTAAAAAATACCACGAAAGAATAAGAGATTTTTGTTTTGTTTTTTTTATATATTATTTTTTATTTTTTCTCATACTTTCACGTCAATGGATTTTGGCTAACGAACAAGTCTGAGAATGGAAAGTCTTATAAAGTAATGCTATGATTTAGATTTCCCCCAGGAAAATCTGGGGATATAATCCAACATCTAAACGAATGGGGTTCCTGTTATGTTCCGACTCGTGGACAGCAACTTGTTCGACGTTATTTAATGACGACGGTAGACAACGCGACGGTGGGTCTTGTAACGGTAACCATCATTGGCCAATTCATGGGCAGGTTGAGGTTCAACAACAACTTGTTGAACGGGAGCTACTTCTTCAACAACTTGGGTTTGTTCTTGGACAGGAGGCAAGTATTCGTTGCTGGGAGGGCTAGCACGACGGTTGCGACGGTAGACAACACGACGGTGGGTCTTGTAACGGTAACCATCATCGGCCAATTCATGAGCAGGTTGAGGTTCAACAACAACTTGTTGAACAGGAGCTACTTCTTCAACAAATTGGGTTTGTTCTTGAACAGGGGGCAAGTATTCGTTGCTGGGAGGGCTAGCACGACGGTTGCGACGGTAGACAACACGACGGTGGGTCTTGTAACGGTAACCATCATCGGCCAATTCATGAGCAGGTTGAGGTTCAACAACAACTTGTTGTTGGGTTGGGGGCAAATATTCGTTGGTTGGGACAGCGACGGGAGCTACGGATTCAATAACTTGGCTTTGTTGTTGAACAGGGGGCAAGTATTCGTTGGATGGCAAGTGGCTGACATCACGACGGTTGCGACGGTAGACAACGCGACGGTGGGTCTTGTAACGGTAACCATCATCGGCCAATTCATGGGCAGGTTGAGGTTCAACAACAACTTGTTGAACGGGAGCTACTTCCTCAACAACTTGGGTTTGTTCTTGAACAGGAGGCAAGTATTCGTTGCTGGGAGGGCTAGCACGACGGTTGCGACGGTAGACAACACGACGGTGGGTCTTGTAACGGTAACCATCATCGGCGAATTCATGGGCAGGTTGAGGTTCAACAACAACTTGTTGAACGGGAGCTACTTCTTCAACAACTTGGGTTTGTTCTTGAACAGGAGGCAAGTATTCGTTGCTGGGAGGGCTATCACGACGGTTGCGACGGTAGACAACGCGACGGTTTGTCTTGTAACGGTAACCATCATCAGCCAATTCATGGGCAGGTTGAGGTTCAACAACAAGTTGTTGTTGGGCTGGGGGCAAATATTCGTTGGTGGGAGCAGGAACAGAGGTATCTAGCTGTACTGGGGGTAAGTATTCGTTGGAGGGCAAATGGCTGACGTCAGCAGCGACAGCAGCAATAACTGCAAATACAACGAGGAAGAATTTCTGCAAGAAGAAAGGACAAATATTGTTTAGAGAGGCGCTTCGGCAAATAATCCGGACGACAAGCGGAACCTACCATTTTCCTGCTTTTGCTTGCGATTCTCAACTAGTAATTGGAACTCACTAAACCACTGACTTTACAAACTGTAGGCAGAACTGTGTATGCTTACAGTAGTAACTCTAAGAGTAGAATGTTGTAGTCACAGAACTATTTCTTACTATTTATACACAAATCTGTCTCCGGCTGAGAGATGGAACATCGCCAATCTACCCCAATTTGATAATTTGTAATTCTTATTTCCAAACACAAAAGATGACAAACTTACACACACACGCGTACACATTGATAGTTATTTGGCTCTCAGCTTCTCAGCAAAGCTAGTGAGCAGATTCGATGGTTGTTGGTTGATCGGTCATAGACACAATTGCCAAAAAACAGAAAACAGAAAAACAATAAAGCCAAAAGAAAACAAAAACAAACATTTTTGGTAACATCAACACAAAGCGTTGGATCGCAATACGCACTCGCACACACGCATACATTTATGTATAGCATAGAAAAATATGCTCACTGGGGCTCAGACAACGACCGACGTCCGCGTCAGCTGTAAAATTTCGCATAAAAACAAAGCTAACAAAGAAGGGTGTAAAGAAAGAAAATAGAAATCGAAAGAATAGCAAAAAAGCACGTCTAGAACCATAAATATAACGATGATGATGATGGTTATGATGATGATGCTGTTGGGGAAGAAAATGAAACCTTACCTGTGTTGGGGTAAAGGAGTGGGTTTCAGAAAAAAAAAAAACAAAAAAAAAAACTTTTAAAATAATTGTTGTTGTTTTTTCGAACAACAAATATAATTTGCCTAATCTTAAAAATTGTTGTAGTTATATTTAGAGTGATCAATATGATTTCGATTGTTTCGTCTGTTATTTTTTTTCCTTATGCGTTTCTTTTTTTTTGTTGAGTTTTAATTTATTCATTTTTAATTGCCTATCCTTAAGTTTTGTTACCACGTTTTGTTAATCGGGAGATTGTACGGGCCGGCATTGTGAAATGTAGTTCAATGATGGATATTCATTCGTAACAAATCGTTCAATGTTGTATGGTGTTCTGGTGTCTTCCTCATGTTGCGAAAATAAATTAGAAAAAATATTAAGAATAGAGAATAAATGATCCGAAATAGTTTTTTTTTTTTGTTTGTGATGTACTGTGGGTTTTCCAATAAGGATTATGTTAATGATTTGCGAATAAAATTCGAACTTTGCAAAATCTCCAAAGAAAAAATATCGAATAATAAAATATAATAGACACAATAAAGAAACGGTTAAGAATATTTGACAATAAATTAAATAAAGTTAGAATATACGACGCTACGCATATAAATATGGATTAAATAAATTATTTAAATATAAAATTTATAAATATCAAAGAACAAAAAGAAATAAAAAAAAAACCAAAACATGCGACCTGGTTAGAAACTCTGAGCATAAAAATGTATAGGGACATGTGAAGCACATAATGATGTGCGTTAAATTAAGTGGAAATCTCAAGTCCTTTAAAAAAAGTTACAAAGGGGAACAATACAAAACAGTGAATTAAAATTGTAAACAATTTTTGTCAGTTTCATAATATTTTGATAATTTAATTAAAACTGGGGGAGTGAATTTTTCAAGGTTTTTTTCCGACCATTATCATACCTGTATTTATTGGAAGTATTGTTTTGGATTTTTTGGTATTTTGTTTTGGTTATTTCAACAATTAATTTTTAGGTTCTTGAATTTTGTAAAAATATTTTTAAAGACACTATAAAGCGTAGACACTTATATATATATATATAGGGGAGAGGGGGGCACCTTCTGAACGGTGGCACCTTTGAACAGCGCTCACAAAATATTGGTTTAAATTTTTTCCGACCCGCTAACACTGTGACTGAATTTCAGACATCGCTCTAAACTCAATTTAACACCCCCTGCCAAATTTCTATAAAATAAAAAAAAACATAGGCTCTTCGTTGCACAATTTACATAAAATCGGAGACCTATATCTAAATATGAACCGATTTCACAAAACTTAACACACATCCTTCTTGACTCAGTTGCATTCCCTGCACAATATTGTGTCCCAACAGGACAAATATTGGAAGTTTGGTGCTTCATTCACATAAAATCGGACGAAACTTCGCATACATAAGTATATGAACCTAATACACTGCGTTGTGCAAAGTTTTGTCTCAATCGGACAAATATTGAGAGTTGATGCATCATTCACATAAAATTGGACGAAACTATATATGGGAGCTATCTAAATCTGAACCGATTTCAGCAAAACTTGACGCATATCAATATAGACCTAATTCAGTTCTCTGTGCAAAATGTTGTTTCAATCGGACCAATATTGGCAGTATGGTGCTCTATTTACATAAAATCGGACAAAACTATATATGGGAGCTATATCTAAATCTGAATCGATTTCAGCAAAACTTCGCAATCGGAAAAATATTTAGAGTTTTGTGAATCATTCATATAAAATCGAACAAAACTATACATGGGAGCTATATCAAAATCTGAATGGATATTTTCCAATTTCAATAGGGTTCGTCCTTGGGCCAAATAAGTGACCTGTGCAAATTGTATTCAATTCGGATCTTAAATGCGATCTGTACTTTGTTTACAATTTAACATGGACAGATGGACGTATATGTATCAAAAAGTGGTTCTATGTATACTCTCAAAAGGAACCTGTTACAAACATATGCATAATGACATAATACCTTGTACCACAGTGTTTTGAAGGGTATAAAAACGATACCATCAGAGCTTACGCGTAGATTTTCATAAGAATATTGTGAATTTTCATTAAAATATTTTCTATCACTAGAAGCTTAGATTTTTTATGAAAAAATAATTATAAGGAAAAAATAATCCTCTGTTATAACCTCTAACGTATATTAAATTTGTCATTCCGTTTGCACCATCTCGGATATAAACATACAAATTCTGGGCACGTTAAGACAATATATCGAAACTTGGGAAATTGTTATTTAATTCGCAGATGCGATTTCACAATAACATCGATATACTCGTATACATAAATTCTGTAAAGTCACATAGCTCAATATGCGTGATGAGCCGCTAATACATGCTGAAATCGCGATTTTAGCGGCATCAAATATTTCCTGACAAGCTAGCTTCACCAAATTTGGAGTGTAGAATTTCAATGTGATAAAAATGGATTTGCGAAAAAATGGGAGGGCCACGACCCATTCATGTTTCATATTTTGGGGATGTTGGGTTAATTTTTCAACCGAATTGGCTGTACTGTGTTATTTATGTTTTTCAATATTTCACTAGTTTTCGGGTAGCCGCCACAGAATGGTATACCACATTATTCGAAATTTCTGACATACCGAAATTTCGGTATTAAGAAAAGTTTGGACACGTTTTGGGTATAATTTTATAAATTGGATTCCCATTTATTGGAATGACTGGTGTAACAACAAGGGTCGGATCAAAACTTCTTGTGTATTTTTCAAAAATGTTTGTTTAACTAAACTGTGGCCGGTAGCTCAAAACTAGGATCGATTCTTCAACATTCATTGTACACAATACTTCATATAGAGGTATGTCTACATATTTTCTCAGTTCTGAAAACTCTAATTCCCTTAATAATACTAGGGCTATCTACAAGCAATCACATATAAATAGTTTCTGTAACACTTTGTTAAAAATACTCGAGTATTAGAATTCATATTTGCCAAGATTTTTTTCAAAGAATTCTTTGAAAAAAATCTATATTAATATATATTTAAGAAAAGGTTTATTAATTTTACGAAAATATTGCTGCGTACAAAAAATAATGGGAAAATAAAATAATGTTTCGATTTTTATACCCTACACCACACTGTGGTACAGGGTATTATGTCTTTGTGCATATGTTTGTAACAGGCAAAAATAATCGAGATAGACCCATGGTTCCTTTTGAGAATATACATAGAATCACTTTCTAAGTCGATTTATGCATGTCCGTCCGTCTGTCTGTCCATGTTAAATTGTAAACAAAGTACAGGTCGCATTTATGATGCGAATTGGATGAAATTTGGTATAGGTCACATATTCGGCCCAAGGACGAACCCTATTGAAATTGGGAAAAATCGGTTCAGATTTAGATATAGCTCCAATATATATATTTAACCGATTTAATGTAAACGGTCCCTATATATCTTTCTTTTGCACGAAATTTGGTACAGCCTAATCATTTAGGTCTAGAATTGTCTGCCAAGTTTCGTAAAAATCGGTCCAGATTTAGATATAGCTCCCATATATAGTTTCGTCCGATTTCATGTAAATGGTGCCCCAAAGTCCCTATATATCTTTTGATTTGCACGAAATTTGGCATAACGTACTGAAATAAGCCTAGAGTGATGTCTGCCAAGTTTCGACAAAATCGGTCCAGATTTAGATATAGCTCCCATATATAGTTTCGTCCGATTTCATGTAAATGGTGCCCCATAGTCCCCATATATCTTTCGATTTGCACGAAATTTGGCATAACGTACTTAATTGAGCCTAGAATGATGTCTGCCAAGTTTCATGAAAATCGGTCCTTATTTAGATATATCTCCCATATATAGTTTCGTCCGATTTCATGTAAATGGTGCCCGAAAGTCCCTATATATCTTTTGATTTGCACGAAATTTGGCATGACGTACTGAATTGAGCCTAGAATGATGTCTGCCTACTTTCGAGAAAATCGGTCCAGATTTCAATATAGCTCCCATATATAGTTTCGTCCGATTTCATGTAAATGGTGCACCAAAGTCCCTATATATCCTTCGATTTGCACGAAATTTGGCATAACGTACTTAATTGAGTCTAGAATGATGTCTGCCAAGTTTCATGAAAATCGGTCCTGATTTAGATATATCTCCCATATATAGTTTCGTCCGATTTCATGTAAATGGTGCCTCAAAGTCCCTATATATCCTTCGATTTGCACGAAA